TGCGGTGCTAGACTTGCCCCATGGGCTCTTTATGCTCAACGGACTCGACACACTTTATTTGTTCGGAGTTACGAAGATGTCAGACTAGCAAGCTGGTGGCCGTTCAGGCATTATCTGTCGTTCTGTGAGATGATCTTCGATCGTAGGCGGAGTAGGTACCTCTGAATTTCATCTCTCACTCCGCTGCAGACCTCGAGTATTTATCTTTTGATGGAGCACTGAATAACACTTATCACATGGTCGTTCTGTCTATGTCGAGTTCCAGTCTTAGGCCTCAGGTTGAGACACTGACGACAGCGGAATCGTAGGGATGGGCGTGAAGTCGGATGTTCTTCGTGTTCTTCGATACTCCGCTGTACTTTTGAATGCTCATTAAGCCGCTTGTCTCCATCTTCACAGCAACTCGTTTTGTAAGGGTCATCACAAACTAGTCGGTTCTCCTCCGTGTCTTCGTCTCGTTTAGCTGCAGACCGACCTCTCTCCACGCACAGTCGAAATCAGCCGGCTAACGGCTAGCGTGTAATTTTTCAGATATTTCGTTCAGATCCCTTCTTACCTGGTAGTGGAAAACTCTTCAAAAGCTGAACGGCATGTCCACTTCGTACTCTATAACCGGAGCAACAAAGTATTAAACCTGCTACAAGTGGTGCTGTAGCAAGAGTACGTCACTCTCAGAGAGGCATCTTCGACTTGTGCGGTTCCATAATGGCGAATGAGTTCGAGACGTTCCCAAGGATAGGCATAACAGACATTTCACGTTCGTCACATTCTCGTCTCGAGACATCGCAACAGCATCAACGGCCGCGAGATTTGGTCACAAAAAATGGACGGATATCCCACGCTTTGATGCTGCCTTGCTCACCCCTTGAACCTTTCCTGCCAGGGCAGGTTTGAAAGACGAGTAGGGCAGCATCAAGGCATGAGATCTTCACCCTTCTTTCTTTTCACCAACATTCGCGGCTGTTGACGCTGCTGCAGTGTTCTGAGTTGGAACTCTGCCTTCTTCGTGGAGTCACTTCTTCTCATCCGCGAAGAGTGAGAGTGCGGTGTTGCACACGGGATGACGTACGCAGTATCTCCATCAGGACCCGATCTACTCACCGTTTGTGCTTCTTAGCTAGACTAGCTTTCTCTGGGGCTTGTGTCTTTTCAGCCAACCAGCTAAGACTGCGTTCATACTTGTGCGCCAGCGATCAGGGAAGTATAGCTATAAATCTAGCGTATGTCAGCGTGCGCCAGAGTACAGCAACGTTTGAGCGACTAGGAGAGTGCAAGTATCGTTCTAGCGTACGTCAGTACGCTGCCGTATGCTCACGCAAAGTATGAACGCTGTCTAAGAAATACTAGTGCGCGCGATGCCGTGCCTGGAAAGTAACTCCTCGCCCGCAAGCTCACAACCTGTCGCTGCGTCAATATCACGTCACTAACTTGCCACACAGATTTCTTACGCCATGCCGAGTGGTAGTGCGCGTTTGTGCGACGTGTATCAGCGACGCACATTCCGGCGACCCCCTCAAAGAATACTATCAGTGGCATATTTCATTAGTGAGATACCATAGGCTAATGGGAACAACGCTCAGCGACGTTCGTGGTATTGGGACCTCTCATAAAGGAGCGCGGCACGCGGTGACATTGAAAATTTTTTTTTTTATTTCGATTACGATGACAGCCCGAACTGAACTTAAACTTTTAATGAGGGTCCTGCTGGCGAAAAGCCATAGCGCAGAGAAACAAAGAACTGCGGCTGCCAAGGCATTGAGAGGTACAAAAAACATATCGTGAGTCAGGAGATGCTTGTTTCCAAAGAGAAGGGACACAAGGACAGATAAGCCCCTTACTATGCGTGAAAAGTTAGAAAGTGAAAGTGCAAGAGCAAAGCCTACAGGAATTCCATGAGAGGTGAGGGCCGTCAGAAAAAACAGAAAGTTGGCGTTATTAAAGGGAGCTTGAGTCTAGTTGTCGGCGTAGGCCCGAAAATTTCCCGCGCTCATAATGCAAGCGGTGCGGCGACGGCGCGTCAAGATACGACACTTGTCGGTCCCGCAAAGGAAGAAGTCCCCTCATTGAATAACAGATCGTTCCGAGCACTTACTACGTGGTTTATTTCAGGGCAGCGTCGAAGCCAGCAAAGGAAGCTCGGCAAGTGTGGACAGCAAGGTAACTGATTTATTGATCATACCTTTGGAATGCAATCGATATACGAGTGATATATATTTAAACAAAACATGAAACCTTATGCTTAAGACTGTGACATTATTTTGTTATCTGAGGGAGACGGATAGAGCTGAGGTGTCACTAGTCTATTTGTTCGCGCTCCTTGAAGGCACACTGTACTATTGCCTGCAAGAATGGATCCCTGCCATGTACGAAGTGGGCGCAGCTCTGTGTATGTGTACCACTTTCGCTATTGGACGCGGGAATGAAGCTGCAGGGATGTGCTAGATAGATGCCGTTTTGGACTCCAGCCATAAACCACGACGCGTGTCGATGCCCAAGCCACGCAGCGAATAACAAACAGAATCGCTTCTTTAAGATAGTGCTTGAAGGCTGAGCCCGCGTTCAAATATGATGAGTTGTGTCAGATAGTAATACCAAGGTAGGAAGTGATTCAGTAGTGAAGAAAAAAGCAGAAAAAAAATCGTGAAATGCCCTCTATAGATCTCCATGCCGAACTGAAGTTAATCAGCTGTTTTTCCTTATCATCTCATTCTCACCATTCGAAATGGAGAGAGCTATAGCGAACAACCGCACCACTATGCAACCATTATAAATGAACGGTGGGCGGTGCCAATGATTGTAGGTTGGGCCAATGAGAAGAACGACGGCATCGTGGGCCTCCTCACTCGTTTTTGCGCCGCGAAAGTGGTGCAGTTGCTGCCTCTGCGGACCTGACTACCTGCTCACAAAGGGAGAGGGAAATCTTAATTGAACGCGGGCACTGATTTTGAAGGCAGCGCCCGCGATCAATCGAGATGCAGGAATCCTTTAGAGTACAAGATGGCGGAGCTTGTGCTCACAGAGGACTCCAAAGCGCTTGATAAAAGCGCCAGCTCAGCAACGATAAGCTGAGCCTAGGAAGGCGGAGTCAACAATTCTATCATTCTTTTTATTACCAAGATAGGTTAGCGGTGATGACTGCTAATTATGCTTTGGAGAATGAGTCGCAGCAAGTGGCGACTGGATTCAAAAAACTCGCCCATAGTTTGATTAACTCGTCCATTTCCAATCCCGCACACATTTCTTTTTGGGGCATTTACAACGGGTTTTTTGCTTTTTTTCTTCTTTAGCATTGTACTTACAACATGACCTAATGGTTCTAAGCTCTACAACCTGTGAAAGGCGATCGCGGGCGCTGTCTTTAAGGCTGCCGCGTAATTCAAGCTGCAAGGGTAAGGGCGGCCTGATGGCGTGGCAGATAGCGCGCTCCCCCGGAAAGCGTGAGGGCAGGTTCAAGTCCCACCCGGAGTTAAGGTTTCTGCTCATAACTCAACATCCTTGCTGTAAGCTTTTTCGTGGAAAAAAGGGAAGAATTGTTGGAAAGAACCCTCTCAAAAGTGCTAGGAAGATGGGGAGTATCAGAAAGATGGTACCTAGGCAGGACGGGGATGTGTTTGAGGGGGAAGTCGTATTTTGTAGAAATTTTCCCCAACAGTAAGGCGTCCTCTGTTCATCACGTTTTGCATGTATCACCCATTCCAAAATATCCTGCCGTTTCGCCAAACAAACACAGTACATCATTTTTCAAGAAGGAGTAACCAGGGGAAGTCCAGGGGAGGGGGTGGAAGGGAAGTAGCACCACATTGTTGCACATTTCTGAAAGGCTTGCAAAAAGCTATCGTCTGCCGTTAGAGTCCTGTTGACGAGAGAACTTCTCCCAAGCTTCCTCGGGGCAAGTTCACATAGCTGTAAAATTGCTCTTGGGAATGGCAAGTTGAATGCAATTGCTGCTTCTTCATTT